GAAGGCAAGGGAATGATAACAGGGATGCACACTTACTGTAGAAGGCAAGGGAATGATAACAGGGATGCACACTTACTGTTAGGAAGCTTACATAGGCTCAAAACCATGTGAGGACCATATGCAGAAGTCTCTCAAGGAGGTTTTGCTGACGGTCATCCCCATATTGGAATTCAAGTGTTCTGTCTCTTAGATGTGTGTCATCACTGCACTGTGACAGGGTCCTTCCTATAACTAACACGGCATCCTTTGGGGTGGCACTAGTGGGTTGGACCAGGATGGTGGTAGAGTGGATGGCACAGGGTGTGACTCAGGAGAAGTCATTTAGCAGAGCTGTTTATGATGGAGAAGGAACTCCTGAGCCTTTTGGGACTGCTGTAAGATCTAAAAGGAACGATCTGGGAGGGTGTTTAATATACAGTAGGGTTCAACACCAACTTTCTTCTTTGCTTTTCTGAAAATCGCAAGGAATTAAGAAGGAAACTCCAAGGGCTTCCAAACAGGATTTATGTCACAACTTCCATACGGTAAAACCACCTTACCATACCCATAAAAGCTCTTTGAATGTGTTTAGAATTAATTTATATGTAATTGTAACACGCTGTGCTTTTTAGCTTTTCATTTTACATAGTAGTAGAAACATAGGGTCAAATCCTTAACTGACTGAATTACAGAAAGCAAAGGTTAAAAAAAAAAAAAAGATTAGGAAAAAGCCACACTAGCACTCTAACAAAGGTGCTTTAGTAGGCCTGAGTGGCCACTTAGCACAAGGCCATCTCAAAGCCAAGCTGTCAAGAAAAGGCTGACTAGAACAGGAAAGATTAACTAGGTGAAAGTGGATGGTAAAGCACATGCTTAGCATGCATGAGGCCTTGAGTTGATCTTTCAGTAAGTCTCTGTGGTAGGTTTATTATCATCATAACTGACTGTAGTTTTAGAACCCTCTCGATTGGAGAATATATTCTCCCCTTCCAAAAAAGACAGAATAATAAAATTGTTGAGCCAGCAATTACAAAGTTGAAATCACTTGAAAAGACTGAATCTTATATGTCTACTTGAAATTTCAATTGTGACACTTTTTGGTTCATAGTCTCTTTTGTCAGCCTCAGTGAGTGTAATTTACTTAGCTAATTTCACTAGTGGATTCTGTTCTTTCAGGGTACAGAGAAATAAGAATCATAAATATGCTATTACTGCCTGCTTTTGTATCTTATTTCATAGCTCCACAGTTTAAATAAAGAAAATATATTTAAAAGTACAAATTAATTGCACTCATTTCCTGGAAGTATTTCAAAATGATTTCTTTTATTAGAGCCACTAAATCTATTTCATGGAGTTTAAGTAGATATATGCTGGCATGATGCAAACATAACAGTAGTAGTAATGGCAACAATAACACAGACAGTTACCATTTATTTATTGTCTAGTACCTATGTGGTATCATGTTGAGAGCTTTGAATAGATTGTTACTGAGCACATTTTCAAAGAAGGAAGTATTATTCCCATGATATAAAGGTGAAAACCGAGGTTTAAAGAGATTATCTTGTTAATTCATGTTACCAACTTAATGAAACTAGAATCCAAGTTTGAGCAACTGTATTCAACACACGCCTTTAAGGTGTTATTATTTCAAATCCAGTAAAGAAGCAGTCTCTCATCTATATGCAGAAATAATTTTTACCTGTTAGTTCTGTTTTATTACCCAAGAAGGCAAAATGATTAAACTATAGTAAGAAATAAAAGATGCAGATATGTGGTTTCTTTCCAAAGGTAGATTTTAGAATCACTTTCTCTAATGTGTAAGTAAAATCCTCTCCAGTCTTTATAGGGTTTATTTTGGCATATATACTCAGGAAAACTTGTGTTTCACAATGGAGTAGTCTCATCTTTTACAGTCATTCTCAAAACTTGAGGAGCTCCAACACTGTTAAATGTCATATGCATCAAAGCAACTACTAAAGTTGTCAAAGTAATTTTTTTCTACAGAACCTCAATGCTATAAACATGTTGCCTATTTGTCTTCTTAGCATCCTAAAAGAAGTTATTGCCGTTATTAGACTTCACGGAAAGTGGGTTAAAAAAATCTACAGAGGTTGATGAGAAAAACCCCGGTGCTTTCTTTTCACTTTTTCTCTTCAAAATCCTCCTTTCAACTCATCAGTAAGAAGCAAGCAGTTTGCTGTGTCTTCCACTGAAAGAGCATTGTAATTCAAATCCATTCAGTGCTGCCTCGCTTGTGCCATTTGTAAGCCAAGCTTACATAGTATACTGCGCACCTATTTTAATGATATAGCACATTAACAAAAATTTCACTCACTTGAAGCCATGTTTACTAACAGAGCCTTAGCACCTCCCCAAAAACTCTCAAAGACAAGTTTCACACATTGAAACTGTCTGAACAAATAATTGATACATACAGCTTAAGCTCTTTTTTTCAAATTAAGGTCTTTGGGGAGTTTTAAAATTACACTAAAAATAAAAGGTTTGGTGGAAATGTTTGATTGTGCAGAAAACATTCAAGGTCACAAGATGCCCATTCAGTTCTTGCTACAACATGAGAGAGGCAACCAGGCTGATTTCTAGCTAGATTTTTTTCCTAGAATTTTCTTGAGGGAATGTTGGAAACTTTATTACAAAAGATGGGAAAGTTATCAAGTGCCAGGAAAATCAGGAGGTCAATACAGATGAGAGGTGCCTAAAGTGTGAATCAGTAAGTTTGTGGAATCTATGCTGACTTATGTAATTTTTTTTTAGAGCCCCTGAAGATAAGAAAATAACACGGAGGTAAGAGAAAAAAAAAACAAAACCAAACAGCCCAAGAGGTGAGACACAGTCATTTTGATGGGGGGG